AGTTGGATGGAGAATGCTGGTTGGCGGTCTATGCTTTTCCATGAAGTGTAACAGGCGTAAATATTAATAGATCTCAATAGATACTCGTGATTTAATCTTCGCTTGCATATAACAAACAGCATCCCATAACGCGACGGCAGTGCAGTGCTTTTAGGTTTTCATTGGTGGTCTAGCTTAGTTCGACTGATGAGTTCAACAGTTGAAATTCTAGAAGTTTGCATCTTAAGGTGCCTTAAGTAAGTGAGTTTTTTATTCCCTTAAATTATTAGTTCAATAGGGTTGGATATTTCTTGAAATTGTTTGGGAATATCAAATAGACAGTAATTGAAAAAAATATAGTTTTTCTGACAAGTTTTCATGATAATGCTTGAAAAGTTTATGGGAAATCTCTTCATGGTTATTGATTATAATACAAAGTAGATGTAGTTGTAAAAGAAATAAATCAACAAATATTTGCTGTTATTTTCGGTCCATGTATGTTAACTTTAAAGGATAGATATGTCTCTTGTGGCGTATAAGTTCGGAAATATTATAAATATAACTGTTATTATAGTCATTAACACAAATCATACACTATCTAATTGTATTGATTCGAGGAATTGAAATTCGAATAGAAGCATGGAAGCATAACATTTGTGGTTACATTAGATCTTTTGTATTTCCATGTTTATGATTGATCCATTGTGCATAATGAACTTAATTTTCATATATTACAGATCTACCTGATTTATGATATCGGGACAGTTATTACAATGAATTTGAATAAGCTAGACAATTTCAATGTAAGTGTTCAAATTCCAACTTTGTTTCTTTTGAGGATTGGAATTATTTAGTCCCCAATATCATATATCCAGCCTGACTGAATTCTTTTGATAGTATCGTTATTTTAGTATATTTTGAAATTAGAATAGAAATGAGAACTGCAACTCGTGTTTCATGCTACTTATGATTCATGATTGCTAATTTCCATATTGAGACTTCAACGCGATGTCTATTGCTTTAATCTTCATTAAATTGTCCTCTACGTTTTTGTGTATATATAAAGCTACTACGTATTTATACTCTCTGTTTGAATATTAATTACATATATTTCTAATCAGTTATTTCCTTCTCATGACTATGTGGTATTTACAATCATACTGATTATCACTTTGAATGATAAGTCACCTCCAACTATCCGTAAAGCAAATATAGTTAACAGTGTTTTCTCCTAAAGTTGTTAGCTTATTCACAGTTATTGTGTTATTCGGTGCCCCACTGTGATCCTGATATGTAAGCTTTCTATACATAAGCCCAATCAGCCTCAAGGGTGAAAAGACCAAGATTACGAAGGAAGTTTTGATTGGCGAACCAAATCGGGAATAAATGTCAATATATATATAACCCTAGAAAATTAAGCGAAAAATAGTTTGTCTCGTACCTTAGAAACAGGTCATTTCTCAGTCAATCGCGTTCATTTGTCATTTGGCCGATTTCTGACTGACATAATGTATCTAGTGAATCATCATGAATTCAAATAGTTTGACATAAATTTGGGACAATCCAGTAATGTTATCAAATGTTAATAGTAAATAAATCTGTTTTAGACAAAGATTGACTTGGACCATTTGCATGTTCCCTCTGATTCTGTTTGTACATTTACGTCTGCCTGCCAAAGCATCTATACTAACAGAACACTAAAGAAAGTCAACCACTGATTTATAGAAAACGTACCAAAAAATGATTAGCTTATGAGAACTAAGTATTTCAAGTAGTGCAATTTCTAGGCATTTCTTGAACGCAAGTCATGAAGTGGATACCATTAAATCTTTCAAGGGGATTAATGGGTAGTCAGGTTTTAGTCTTTTGAAATTTACCGGGGCTATTGTCACCAAGTTTCAGAAACCTGATATATATATATATATATATATATATATATATATATATATAATATTTTGCTCAACCTTTTGATTTCGTCTGAATTACTGGTACACTATCAGCCAAACTCATTTTTGTAAGAATTTTCAGTTCATTTACAAAATTGGATTTTGAAATCGTGTACTTTGTAAGCAGATGAGGAGAACCTGACAAAGTAAAATCAATTTTGGTTTTAATTTTTTATCCATTCATATTTTACCAAGAATTTAAATGATATTTTGGGAACCATTAGCGGCAATACTTGACACCACATTGACTTAAATTGTAAAAATGTCTAATTTAAAACTGCCCAACGTTGCACTCAACAGTTTATATTTTAAATATCACTATAGCTTGATGTGTAATTAATAATCAATAATTAATTAGGATTAGAGACATATGAAGATTTTTCATTTCAATAATTCTACCATGAACTAATTAGTTAGATAAACATTGGAAACAACGAAATATTAGCTAGCAGCTTCCTGCTACATCGTAGTCTATGCTCTGGCCACGACTCGTGAAGCCTTTGTTTCGATTCCTGATTAGGTATCAGGTGCGCACTACTAACAAGAACCATATTAAAATGAATCAGTTACCCAGTACTCTATGGTTTTCAGTCCTCATCTGGTTAAAGTCACTTGGTGTTGCAGACTGTTTTCAGCAAATATTTGTTGGACTCAGATGACTTTGCTTGTTACTTTACTATAGGAAACATGAAAGAAGCTTTTATCCAAACAATTTTTTAACATTACCACAGTGTCGATGAAGGAAACATATGCATTAAAACCCTTTGCATTCATTATTTTAATGTGTAATTGATTCAGGAAGCTTGTATTACATTATCAACCATTAAACAGTATTGTTTTTCGCTCGAAACATGATTTACTGAACGCGAAGTTGATTTTGACTGAATAATGTCAAAGATAATCAACAAATCATTAGTACACGTTTCGAAAGCGACAAATGAATTGTATTTTTCTGTTAAAGTAAAATAACATATAAAAAAGTTAGACAGAATGTTCCAAACGAATAAATAAAGATAATTCTTACTTAAGGTTGTAATAACGTCTATAGAAAATCACTGAAAATCTGGAAGGACTGAACAACTACTTTATAATTGGTTCGGACCAGTTGACACTTAATAACTATAAGGAAGAATTCACGGTGTCGTTTAAGGTCGATAACAAACAATATTATTAATTCATTGATTCAATTTCCAATGGTGCATATTTTTTCATCGACTTAATCTACTTTTCTAATCTAAACAAATATCTTAAATAAAATGTACCTTTAGAATAAAGAGATATTAAAATCTAAATTCTTATATTCACTAAATATTTATTCATTTCATTATTAAGTGGCTACAGGTAGTCGACATGGAACCTTAGATTTAAGTTCCCTGTTAATTTACCGTCATCAGCAAGACCATAGGATTCGATTGGTACCAAAGGACTAGATAAACAATACACTGATTTCTACCAAGTAATTAATCATTTAAATTATTTTAGGTATGAAATTTTTAATTACTAATTTCTATTTGAGATCATGAGTCAATTGAAGCTGAACCAGCATAGAAAACCTGGAAACAGTGGACGGCCGTTTCGTCCTAGTATGGGACTCCTCAGCAGTGCGCATCCACGATCCCGCCACGCGAGATTCCACCCCAGCACCTATCAGTCTCGCGCGCGAACGCTTGATCTCTACACCACTGAGCCGGCGTCCAACCGTGTAATTGTCTAACTTCAACCAATTCACGGAATCCAGCCACCATTTTCTTCAGTCAGTTACCATCTCATAACAGACCCGGTTGAACCCCACAGGTCGCTGATTCTTACTAGAACTCCATGAAATGCCTCTTGAAGCCAGTCACTAGTGAGTATGTGTTGATTTATATCCACAAAACTCCTTATGATACTAATTTAGACTTTATTTTGGACAATAAATCGTTTACGCATCTCAGAAATTGCTTTTGCTGAATGACCTGTTTTGGCTATATGATTTATTTTGTTTTAGAATTACTCATTGTCACGAAATTTTAAGTGATTTTTGAATAGTTACAAAATACTCTAACCTGAATGGCTTACAAAACCTTAAGAATGATCAAAGCGGTGATCGCCACCAATCAAAATGCTGCACGAAACCACACGACAATTTTGTGTGAACCCATTCCACGAAATGTAACCCCATGTATTAAGTTTTGCAAAAAGACATGATGTGACATCATTGAATTTCCAGAATGGTTCCACGACTAATTGACTGAAGTTAGATATGTGAACCATTGGATGTCAATTTAACGGTTCGAGGTTTAAGATTCCGATGAGAGACATGAATGTCATAAGTTCGATTCCTGATGAGGTAGGGGACCAACACATTTGTTAAGTTCCACACTGGAAAAAAACAGCTGTCCAATGGTTTTTTAACTAGAGTTAGTCGGTGACGCAATCCAATATATTTTTTCGATTACTAATACTGATGGCATTCAGCGTTGAGATCTCAGCTTTGTCTCGATTTGAATTAGAGCATAGTGTTCTGTGAAACCGCCTAAGTCATAAATTGGGCTGGAATAGTACTAAGGTCACAGCCGAGTCCACGTATTATAACGAAAACTAAATATTCACACTAAAATACGTAGAGTATTGTTAAGATAGTCGGGAAAATATACCAATAATTATCGTGTTAAGTCTATGGTGGCCTTGGACCTTAAATGTACATTTCTTATTGGTCGATGTTTATTTCACTTGTTAAATATTTTGTAAATGTTGTTTCCTATTTTATGGTACGATGTGGTTTGTTTGGTTAGTATATAAATAGAGTATGTCTGAAATACAATGATTCATAACTCAGAGGCTGTGACTTGTGTTCTAGACTCAACTGGCTGGGATAGACAGCGAAACAGGGCCAATCAGGGCACTAGGTCGTTCATACGTGTTTCCGTGTTACTGTGATCGATCGATAAAACGCTGCTTATCAAAACCTGCAGTCTCACACGTTACAACAAGTACAAAATGAATGAGAAAATATTATCGTTAAATAGATCAAATAGGAAAGTAAAAATGACTTATATTTTACAAACCAGTTTTATTAGGTCATCATTATTAGATCTTTTTAATATGATTAGATCCAAGGTGTTCATGACATATTTCGTAGAAATTGCTATCGTTCAATTTTTATAACAGAACCTATACCTGAAACAACGAGTAGATTACAACTAACGTACAGGAAAAGACTGTTTCGTAACTGGATGTCTAAGGAACGTTCAAAGAAGAACATTCAATACGGGAAGGTTATAACTCTTGTTTATCAAACAAATAATAGTAAGTTCACGAAATAAAGTCAAGCTCTCAAGTTCCACTGCTTTTCTTCTGGTTCTGATGATTTGGAGTATCCAATGGTGATAGATATGCCAAAACTAGTTGGACAGGTTCTTTCAAACTTGACTGTAACATATCGTCCAATAAATGACCCAAAATTTCCAATACTTATGAGTGAGCATCAAAAGTGTAGAAACATTCTCTTAGAAACAGGAGAAGCTCCAGAACTAATAATTCTCATCAAATCTGCTCCATCAAATTTTTTACGTAGAGATGCAATACGCTTAACATGGGGTAATGATCTTTGTTGGGGTGGACGTCGTGTCATCCATCTTTTCCTTCTTGGTAATGTCCCATCTAATAATGAACGTTTAAAATACATATTAAAAAATGAATCCTATGCATATCATGATATAATTCAACAAGATTTTCTCGATCACTATTATAATAGTACATATAAAATTATGTTTGGCATTAATTGGGCAGTAAAATATTGTTCAAATGTCCCAATTATTATGTTTGTTGATGATGATTATTTTATCTATCCAAAAAATGTGGTTGCTTATATTGAAGGTTTAAGCACAGAGCTGCGTAAACTTTTGATCAGTGGTTATGTCTGGTATAATGCAGGACCAGTTCGTAAGAATATTGGTAGTCACGAAAAGTGGTTGGTTGATGATAAAGAATATGCTCCACGTTACTATCCTCCATATGTGGCAGGAGGTAATTTTTTTTTATCAATGGATTTGGCACGTGAATTAAATGTAGCTATGCGTTATACAAAGTATCTTCGGTTTGATGATGTCTATCTGGGAATAATACTTAAAAAGTTATTGCATGTACCAATGCATTTAAAGAAAGTTTACACATTCCACCCTGTAAATTTAAATTCATCTGAGATATATGAAATGATTTCTAGTCATGGTTTTGGCAAATCTGCTTCACAATTCTTCTTATGGGACCGCTTAAAATGCTCAACATTTTGTGTACAGTCTCTTGTTTAATTTACCATTTGCTTGTCTTCTTTTGTACTATTAGGTCGATACTTATCACGTTTCTCTTCCTTTTTTAAATCATTGTTTCTCGATCTATTCAACTATCAATCAAGATAAAACTGGTAGACAATTTATAGAAAACGTCATTTTTATTTGCCTTTTGTATTGTTGTTGAGTATCACCCGTCCTAATAATTTGTATTCTAATTGTGCATACTTTTACAATTATGTGATATATATGAAACAAGGAAATATTCGTTCTGAATACTTACTCAGATATTCCCAATTATTGTTACAAGTACTACTTTAAATAAAATTTTTGATAGACTAATAAATATATTTAGTGATCAAACTAATCTATACTTAACCAGTAATGACTTTCTGTGTACGCACATATAAAATCTCATTTACTGTTGTGAATTATTGAGCTGTTTTATATAATCCCCATACCAAAAGACGATTCAATAAATAGTCGATCAGACAACTACAACGTAGGACCAGGCATATATATGCATCGGTGCAAGTTGCAGCACCTCATTAGCACAACAAGATGAACACCGAATCCATAGAAGTAGTTACTTCACTGGTAGTAATATATGAAAGAAAGATTGTGTATAAGGATAAAGTACAGCAAGAAAAAACTAATTCGTAGAAAGGAAGATATAAAGTAATTTTAATCTCACGGTTTAAGAGAAAACGAAGAGTGTGTACACCTACATCATTGTGATCGCTTCACTCATATCATACAGAGTCTCCAACCATTGGTTACTATAGTCGCGTGGACCCCAGCCAAGTAGTCTGGATCTACCAACATGGCTCATACCAGAAGTTAGTGACTTCAAGGACTGATGCCACGTTTTAGTCTGGCCACCCCTAACTCTCTTCCAAGCATCCCCAACACTTGTCCGCATTGCGCGTCGTGGTAACTGGTGTCCACGCATACGCAACACGTAGCCTAACCATCTCAGTCGATGAAGATTTACAACCCCATCAACTGATTTACCATTATTCCCTGATACCCTGCGTCTAACCTCACTATTACTTACCTGGTAATCCCAGCAGATGCGAGCAATATTTCTAAGAGATCTGTGGTCAAATATCAGTAACTTACGAGTATCCTCTACTCTTAGTGGCCACATTTCTCAGTCGTAAATTAAACCAGAACGAACTGCTGCGCAGTATACTCGTCCTTTGATTGATGAACGGATATTTCGCCTTCGCCATAAGTGACGTAAGTTGGCAAAAGCCAAACGAGGTTTTTGAATCCGTGTTAAGATTTCGTCAGACACCCACCCATTAGGTTGATCAGACTTCCAGGATGAGTGAAGTTATCCATGCGTTCGACTACCCCTATCCCTATCCGTAGTTCAGGTGTTGACGCAGACCAGTCCTGAGGCAACAACTTGCATTTAGTGGGGGAGAGACGCATCTCAAATATCCTGGCATTGTTGCTGAATGCTACCAAAAGACTATGTATTTTATAAGCGTCTTCATCAAACAGAACTATGTCATCTGCATATTCTAAGTCAGTAAGTGGGCCTATTGGTAGGAGATCAATTCCCAAATATTAAGACAACGGGAACGTTATTTCCACCAGTAGGTCTATGACGAATTTGAACAAAAATGTAGATAGTGGACAACCTTGACATACACCACTTGAGGTTGCAAAATCAGATGACAGTTCACCATAAGCTTTGACCTGACCAGTAGTGTTTGAGTAAAGAGCCCTTGCAAGGTTCATGTACATTTGTGGTACACCTTTCAATGACAGACACTGCAGCAGAACTTCTTGGTCTACGGAGTCAAATGCTGCTTTTAAGTTGTAGTGCCAGTTATTTTGTTAAGCCCATATACCTTATTCTAGTTTTTGAACAGGCCAATATATTCATTCTACTCGAGTCACATTTTGACCTTGTTAATCATTCGCTTATCAACCCTGACTGCTTTTGTATGACTGTATTTGTGCGTACACTTCTTATCCCATTCATCACATGTCTGTAACTTATTTTTGTGTGACTATAAATATTGATTAACGCTTGGTTAAATGGTGCTGGCTCACACGCCTTCTCCATTGAGCGTTATTTCGCTTCGCTCTCTTCTATTCGCTTCATCCCTCTGATTTCCTGTCCAGATCAGTGAGTGTACAAAATATACGCATTCGAAAATCTATTCTCGCATTTGACTTATTTAATTTCGTTATTCACTAACGCGACCTAAGTCAGTCATTACATACGAGGATTGACGATATGTATATCTCAATAGCGATCAGAAACGATCTCACTGGAGTCAGATCCCGGGCCACTAAAAAGTTATGAACAACGATCATTGTCGGACGCCGATAAGCATGCCTTTGTTCTAAAACCTGACGAATGGTGAACATGTGGTCGATGCAGCCACGACCAGGTCTGAAGTTAGCCTGATGTTCTCGTGTTCGCAGTTCACGAGTCTTTGTTAGGCGTCCAATAATTATTGAGGCTGGTATTTTGGATGCTTTATTAGTCAAACTAATCCCTCTACGGTTATCATAGCATGATTTTTACCTTCTCTTATATATTGGAACAATCAGTGATTATGACCAGTCAGATGGGATTACGTCCAACTCCCAGATTTTAGCTGAAATATCAGTTAACCTAATCGCCAAAACTGGACCACCATACATGAAGACCTCTGGAGCCAATCCATCAGGACCAGCTGTTCTTCCTTGTTTCACATTAGCTGTTGCTTTCTGAACTTCAACTAGAGTTGAGGGAGCTACTCCAATGTTCCATTCCGGCTGTCTGAGAATGATGGGTAGTTGTAGAGTAGCTGAAGGCCAACTGAACTACTATTTGAAGTGTTCTGCCCATCGTCCTAAACGTCTAGACTGAGAGCGGATAAGTGTCGTCTTATTCCGAGGTCGTCTCACTTAGTGATTTAATAGTCGAATTCATGAGTCAATTAAAGCTAAACCATCATGGAAAATCTGGATCTGACTTGTTTTAGCTCTTTATCGTGTTCAGAGCCTGATGTGATGAGTTTACGAGAATCTATCAGTGCAATAGACTTAGTAGAAATCCATTGGTTTTTCGGAACCCTTTGGTTTAAATCACCAATCGATGTCGCTCCTGTTTCCACAGTTGTTCGTGTATCTTCTCAATCAACATCTGGGTTAGCCTCGTTTTCACAATCACCTAATTGTGAATTCAGTTGTTCATGGCATCTACTTTTGGCTTTCTCGTCACTCAGTTCAACTCTAATGGGTTTTCTTAATGTGGTTTTTCTGCGTCCGATGAGGCGCAGGCAAATATGTGCTCGTATTGGAACATGATCAGAGTCTAAACATGTATTCCAGAACGAGCGACATGCTTCTACCGAGCCTCTCCAACTATGACTGATGGCAATATGGTCTATTTGAGTCCATCGTTGGTTTGGTGCACTGGATCCGCCATGTTAGACGATGTCTCTCCTTATGCTTAAACTTAGTGCTTGCTAAAAATAAACGATTGTCTGAGCACAGTTGCAGCAGACGATTACCATTATCTGTTCGCTGAGCCGGAATACCAAAATACCCACTTCAATGTTTTTTTGCTTGGTTTAAGCTACCTACCTGGGCGTTAAAGTCACTTGCTACGAGTACTATATCTGAGCGTTCAGCTTTATGAAGAAGTTCAGAAAGCTTTCTGTAAAAACCATTTTTCACTTCATTCAGGTTACAGTCAGTGGAAGCGTAGGCAGAAACGACGAAAAGGCAACTACGTTTATCTCTATCCTTCCGAGTTCCTACGGAGCCGTTCAGCCAAACAGCACATAGACGACTGTTAACGGGGATCCACTCTAATAGTGTTTGTTCCACCCTCTTACTGAGTGCTATGCCTACACTTGCCAGTCCATGAGAACGAGCCATCGGGTCGCCAGAGACACGTAGGGTGTCTCGTCGGCTCTCCATTTTGGCGAGGTGAGGTCAAGTGAGTGACCGCACTAGGATCCGGTATGGGTGTTTCGGAGACACAGCATACATCAATGGTACGAGATTCTAGGGTTTTAACCAAAGATACCTTTAAAGCCATCTCTACCTGACCAACTGACCCCTTCCAAATAGCACTCCCATTGTTTTTATACATTATGCGATCCATGTTAATAGCAAACTAGCTGCCTGATATTCACGTTCATTTGATTTGCTAGTACTACTCACTTTTTATACTAAATAAATGACCCCTCCGTTTGATCATTTACAGAAAGTTTTTATAAAATTGATTACAACCATCACTGCGCAATTCACTATCGACTTATTTTAATACCACTCTAATATGTAACGACATTATTCACCCAGATTTTAGGATTACAACCTTAACAATTCACTAATAATTCGATTTTTTTTAAAACAACAAAATTAGGGAATACTGTGGTTGATATTGATGTTATATTCAAATATCAAAACCTACGAATTCATCTAAGGGAGTTATGATTAGAAACTAATTGAAAAGAGAAATATTTCTTTGTTGCATATGTAATTTAAATATGTAATCCAATTGTCTCTAGGGACATGGTAGCGAGTTAAACTATCTGCCTCTCGTTTCGATTCTAGGATTGTATTAATATGAGGCTTGTATTACTTCTGATTGCTGTCTATTATTTTCCTGATTAGATGTAAGTGGATTGTGTGCACTCGCTGGGTCGTCGACTGACCTTTTCTTTGGTTCTTCTCTTTTACAGTCCTCACTCATTCGTCTGTATGCTTCCCTAATGCACAAAGAACTTTCTGGCTAGATGCTATAAAATCCAAAGAACATAAACAAATTCAAATTATTCACCTAGACTCCAGTAAATTTATTGTTCAGAAATTTCTATTTTCAAACCTAAAACATCTAAAATAATATTTAAAAGGAAAACTTTTGAACAAAACGTTTGTTTGGTAGAATGATATTTACAGAAAAATAAATACGTATAGTCATGTAGTTAGTGGATTTTTACACCTGGTGAGTTCGATAAAGACTGAAATACTGATTCTTGTCTATAAATAAACAAACAGACTGATAGGTAGATGGATATTTTACCACTGACTGGTGTGCAAAGATTGAATCTAATACTTGTAATAAACTCTAATTCAGACCATTTTGCTGCCGAGAGTCTACTTATGAGACTTAATGTTGGATGGAATCAAAGCAATTAATTGTAAACTTCATCGCTTGTGGTTTAGACAACATTAATTGGTGTGAAATTACACGAGAGCTTTGTTTTTTGTTTCAGTTATTCAAACCAAAAATATTGTAGCACTTATCTTTATTAATCAGTAAGTCATTTTGTAGAATATTGTTAAATAATGGTTTTCTAAGCTGTTATTCATGCGAAGTAGATCAAATTTCCTATATAAAAAACATTTGGTTTTTAAAAGAAACCGCATTAGAATTTACAACGTTAATTCTACCACGATGAAATATTTCCTTGAACCAGTGTACTTCTATAAAAACTCAATTTTCGCTAAAGAGTAAACTATCATTTTTCTTCTGTATGGTTGACTTCAGTAATAGTTAAATAAAAGACTAATAAATAGGTGTTCTTCAGTTAGAATACCATTAGAAACCCGGGAAGTCTGGAGAGCTATTCCGTCCTAGTATGTGTTGGGATGTTATATTCTAAAAATACAAGAGTTATGGTTGTGATCGCGTTCAATATCAGTACGGGACTCTCTCGCACTGTGCACCTATGACCTCGGCTGGTACCGAACCCCGAAACTTCAGGTCTGATGGCTGGTTTACCTAATAATAATCTTACTTATTTAACTATGAAATATTGAAGAATTCGTACCCTGAAGGACCGAAATTTATTCAACACTATGAGTGTCTAAACAGAAGCAAATAATTCTCTTAAGGAATAACTGTTCGATCTTTTGACCTAAAAGCAACTTTAAAAGATACACTATACCGTTAGCGTTTCATTACTGAGAGTTTGCATCGAAAGACTACACGCATGTATATTTTGTATGACTTTCATAATCCAAAGCTTATACGAAGTTAGACGGGAGTACATTTAACTTTGATGAATCTTTAATTCTTCTCAATGAGAATTTCCCATAGATTCTTAGTTCCGATCAAATCATCTCAAAAACAACATATATGGAACAAAAGATGTGATTCTCATTTCATACACATAAACATAATTAATTAAGAGCTTATTTACAAATAGTTATAATAATCGAAAAACTAAAGAAAATCAGAACAATTGCGCTCAGTACTAGATAGTACTCGTATATCTACATA